GGGGCCGATCCTGTTTAATCTTTTCATTAACGACATGGAAGTAGGGGTGAACAGTCTGCTGATCAAATTCACAGATGACACTAAAACTGGAGCAGTGGCCACAACTGAGGAGCAGGTACTCCAGATCAAAAAGGATCTGGACAGACTATGGAAGTGGGCAGGAGACAACAGGATGGCGTTCAATGTGGATAAGTGCAAGGTCTTGGGGCATAGGAATGGGTGTCATACGTACAAGTTAGGGGACAAGTGGCTGGAAAGCAGCACTTGTGAAAGGGACCTCGGGGTGCTGGTTGACTGCAGGCTAAACATGAGTCAGCAGTGTGATGTGGTGATCAAGAGGGCAAATGCCACCCTTGATTGCATAGCAAGAAGTGTGGCTTCTAGATCGAGAGAGGTATTACTACCACTCTATACGACTCTGGTGCGCCTGCAACTGGAGTATTGCACTCAGTTTTGGGCCCCTCATTACAGAAAGGATTTAGCCAGGTTGGAGTCAGTGCAGCGTAGGGCCACAAGGTTGGTGGCCGGTTTGCAGGGGATGCCATATGAGCGAGACTGAGGGAACTGGGTCTCTTCAGCCTGGAGAAGAGGAGACTCAGAGGGGATATGTTGGCGACATACAGGTATGTGAGGGGATGTCACACGGTGGTGGGTAGAGACCTGTTCTCCCTTGCAGAGGAAGGCAGGACGTGCTCCAACGGAGCAAAGCTCCGGGAACCAAGGTTCCATTTGGATGCCAGGAAGCACTTCCTGACAGTCAGGACCCCGAGGGTGTGGAATGGGCTTCCAGGAGAGGTCGTTGAGGCCCCATTGGTGCGGGTGTTCAAGGATAGGCTGGACATCCACATGGTGGGCATGTCGTGAGTGGAGCCGGCTGGAGCCAGGGGTCAGACTAGATGGCCCAGGAGACCCCTTCTGACTCACTCTGTTTCTATGTTTCTATGACTGTAAGGATGAACAAGGCTGAACAGTCCCAACATTTTGGTCAGCGGTGGGAGAAAAGATGCTTGTGGTGGAACCATGTTGCCAATCAACACCTCAATGCCAGGTTCAGGGGGAATATCCTGGGATGTGCCCCAGTGCTTTTCAGCACCCTTGTGGAAATGGTTGCTGAAGCAACGATGGCATCGGGATGATGCTAAATGGGGCAAGCATCATACAGCTGCTGTGGAGAACTGATGCAAAGGGGGACTTTCCACAAAATGCACTCCTGTGCAAGCTCACCCTGGAACCCACCCTGCAGCCTCACTGTGGCAAGACCACCATGAGGGGGAGAAGGGCCTGTCTGCTATGGGTCCCATTTCTTTTGTTTTTCCTCTAAGGGGTACAGTAGAACCACGGAGTCTCACATCTATTTCTGGGTTTACTCTGCAGGAGCTTTTCAGACAGAAAGAGCATGAGGCTTAAGTTGCACCTTCCTGCTCACCATGTATTTGGGCAACTCCTGGGCAAATTGTCCATCACCTGTCTGTTTCCATTGTGACATTCGCCTCTTCCACACTTTGATGCTGCCTCTTCCTTGTTTACGAGGGCATTGCCTCCGTGCCTGTTGCCAGGATGCTGCGCTGCCCTCCTTGGAACAAGATCATTTCCTACAGCAGCTGCTGCTCTGAGATGTATTTCCTATTGACTTTTGGAAGCAACGGCAACTGTCTGCTTGCCTCAGTCCACAGTCACTGCCTGGCCATCTGCCCAACCCTGGACACCACAAATGCTGCTGCATGGGAGCTGGATTTTGGCCCTTCCTTGCCCCATGTCCTAAGAACTTTTGCACTCAGTTCAGAGGTTTCCTAGTCACAGTCTCCCCCCACTAGGATGAGAACTATGGTATTGCTATTAAAATTATAGCAATTCCTAAGAACCTTGCATGCACATGTGTGTCCTCACTTTTTGTGAAGTTGTGAGAAGCTGAATTCTTTCTTTCCTTCTTTCCATACCATCCAATAGCCAGAATTATCTGAGAGGTGAAAAGCAATGAATACAGTAAAATAGAATATAAAAATATACAATTATACTACACATTTAAGACCAAATTTAAATGGCTGTGATTAGTGCACACTACTATGCCTGCTAAAAACAAGCAATACCTCCCACCCCATGTGCTATTTGGAGTTGGTAAATGTCTTGGCAAAGATGGGCAGTCCTGGTACTGAGTAGTACAGCTGGGATGGGATGGACCTTAACGGAAACATTACTCTATAATTTGGGGACTATCAGAGAAAAGGCCCTCAGTTTATGGAATAATTTGTTTTTATCTGTCTTCAGTGTAGAAGATACAGGACCAATACCTGTGCCTGAACAGATTCTTTCAGGGATGGAGTGGGAGGAGCTGAGGCAAATACTGGTGACAAATGTTGATGTTTTCAGTGATATTGACTTGATTCTCTGCAATCTCGTCATCCTCCTGTACACCATTATCATCCAATGGTCCTGCTACCTCCCAGCTGGTTTCCTGCCTGTGATATATTTTAACAATTCTTTCTTGTTAGCCTTGATGTGATTAGTAATATGCTTTTCAAAATCTGGAATTGTTTAGCTTATTGAAATTGTGGCAGAGGGAAGACATGATAGAAGCTTACAAAATCATGCATGGTGCAGAGAAAGCAGATTAGGAGGCCTCTCTCTCTCTTTCCCTATCATAATTCTAGAATCCCAGATAGATGAGTGGCGAGAGATTCAGGACAGATAAAAGGAAGTGCATCTCATAGGATAACTGCACAGACAGTTCTATCTGAGGCAGCTCCTAAGTACCCTCAAGGAAGGCTTGGGATGTCATTTGCAAGTGAGTGGCCTTCAGAGCAGTGGCTGTTGACAGACAGCCAGCATAGCAAAGCTTCTCTGTGCCCTGTACCTGCCTCTGTGGACTTCCCTGATGCTGCACTCTCAACAGACTAATACGAAGCAGGTATTCAGGAAGAATCAGACTGTTCTCCCAGGTCAGAGCCTTGCTTTTTCTTGAGGTTCATTTAAAGGTAAAGGTTTCCCCTTGACATTAAGTCCAGTCATGCCTGACTCTAGGGAGCGGTTCTCAGCTCTGTTTCCTAGCCGAGGGAGCCAGCGTTTGTCTGCAGACAGTCTCCATGGTCATGTGGCTGGCATGACTAAGCACCAAAGTGCACGAAACGTTTCACCTTCCCACCAAAGTGGTACCTTTTTATCTACTTGCATTTGCATGCTTTCGAACTGCAAGGTTGGCAGGAGCTGGGATGGAGCAACAGGAACTCCGAACCGGAGTTGATCTGAACCAGTTGATCTGAAGCGGTTGATCCGAACCGGCGACCTTTCGATCAACCAGCCAAGCAGCACAGTGGTTTAAACCACTGCGCCACCTGCAGGAAAGTATAAATCCCAAGATGAGGAAAATGCTTTGATGAAAACTCTCACATGCATCCAACCTCGCCTGCTGCTCCCTCTGGAGACAATCCTTCAACCCAGTTGAAGTAGACCCAAGCTTTCTGCATCTGGTAGTGGCCTAACTGCAAGTACACATGCACCTGCATTTCTATGCCTCAACAACAAAAAGTGTTTGCTGCCTGGAAGAATCAAGGAAAAAGAAAGAGGCTGCTGATATGTTAGAGGAAAGGAACAGATTTGTTTTATTTATCTCAAAAAATTCTATCACTGAAGATGACCTCCAAACTATGTTTATAAGATTATAAAACCAATATAATAGTAAAATTAAATAGGGAAATAAAAAGTATTAAAACAGCAAATAAAAATGACAATCAATTGAGAATTAAATTTGCTATTTTAAAATTACAAATTCTCTTTTGTATGGCCAGATGAACAGGAATGTTATAATTCAGAACCAAAAAGAAAACAGATGTGGTAATTTGGGTACAAGATGATGACTGCTTTTGATGGGAACAGAGTATATTAGCTCGTTTATATGTCCTGTCCACATATACACTGAAGTGAAGCTTCACCTCAAACACAGACATTTACAGCTGAGTAAACATGCTTGAGAATAGCGCTGTTGTAGGATTCCTCATCCCTTGCTTCAGAAACAGGTAGTTTAAGGAATTTGCCTCATTTCTCTGTGAAATTAGCATTGCCGTTCATCAATGGTAATGAGAAATCTGGAGTTCTTTTGCTTGCCTCTGCTAAAGATTTGTCTCCACCCAGCTTTTAATCTCATTTCTTTGAGTGGATTGCAAACTCAGGATCTGTGAAACTTTTGACTCATCAGCATGGTGTCTCCTAATCAGGTGAGTCCCGAATGTATCTTCATTTTTAGCTCTTTATTTTGTGATTCTTCTTTGCACCTACATTACCCTCTTTAGCCTCTGCCGAAGGAATGTCATTTATCATGGAGTCAGTGTGGCATACTGGTGAGAGTGTTGGACTGAGAGCCTGGGAGATCCGGGTTCTAGTCCCCACTCGGCCACGGAGTTCATGGGGTGACTTTGGGCCAGTCACTCAGCCTAACCCCCCTCACTGCTTTGTTGTGAGGACAAAAACAGAGAGGAGGAGGATTATGGTCATCTTGGGCTTCTTGCAATGAAAAGGCAGCATATAAAAATAATTACTAAATATAACATAAATGATGTTGATGTATCCCATTCTTCCATTGGAAATCTGAATGTGGATCATGTGGGAAGCTTTTGGCCCAGTTGACATCATAGGGGCAACCATGTTTTTTTGCCCAGGTGCCCAGGAAGAAAGCGCCTAATGCTTGCACCAAAAGAGTTATGCAGAGGAGGGGACCTGAACTCTCTCTTTACTCCATCACTCTCTCATGTTCAGAGGACAATATTTGCAGGTGTCCATCATTTAAAGAGGTGTCCAGTGCAAGTCTGGGATCATGTCAAAGGACCATAAGAAGAAGGTAAGGAAAGGTTTAGTATTGTTGACAGCTCAGTTGTCAGACAGCATAAAAGATACCATCCTGGTCATGGTCTTAAGTTTAATAGTAAGATGTCTTATGTTTCTATTTATACTATACTTACTATTCGTAAATAGTAAGTATATTACTATTCGCATCCTCCTCATGTACCTGCATGACACTCCTGGGCAACCTGCTGATCATCCTGCTTATCCGCCACGATGTCCACCTCTACTGCTCCCCCATGAATTTTTTCCTCAGCCACCTCTCCTTGGCTCATATTGGCTCTCACTCCTTCACAGTTCCCAAGATGCTGCAGAACCTACTAACTCACCCCAAGCACATATCCTACGGGGGCTGCTTGGCTCAAATGTTATTTTTCCTGGGCTTTGGAAACACAGAAAGTTTTCTCTTGACCTCTATGGCATTTGATCACTATGTGGCCATCTGCCTCCCACTGTGTTATACCCTACTGATGAGTCAGAGACATTGCCTCCTGCTGGCCATGGGCTGCTGGCTCCTGGACTTTCTCCACTCCCTGCTCTACACCCTGATGATGGCTTTCCTCTCCTGTGCCTCCCGGGAGATCCCGCACTTCTGCGACCTCCACCTTTTAATCAAGTTCTCCTGCTCAGACACCTCAGCCATTCAGATGACAACTCTCACCAAAGGAAATGTGACTATGGTGGGCCCGTTCACCATCACGCTTCTCTCCTACATCCTCATTTTCTGCAGGGTTATCAAGATCCCATCAGCTGCTGGAAAACGCAAGGCCTTTTCCACCTGCAGTGCTCACCTTGCCACTGTCATCCTGTTCTTTGGAACAGTGATAGCGGTGTATGTCCGTCCCTCCTCCACCTACTCTGGTGCCAAGGTCAGGGTGATGTCCGTGGCCTACACAGCTGTGACTCCCATGCTTAACCCCTTCATCTACACACTGAGGAACATCATGATGCAGCAGTCTCTGCGGAAATGCATCAGGGTTAAATCTGCGTGCCGGGAAACCTTGACTTCCCCAGGCTTCTTTAATTTCAGTCAAGTAATCCTGATGGTCAAGAGACTCATCCTTTAAAGCTGTTATGGAATTTGGAATTTGAACAATCCATCCATCTGAGAACAGTCTATTGCAACCATGGCAGAAAAATGATTTGCTTAACTTTGGGGTGGAAGCACTGCAAATTTCATATTAGAATTGTCCTGGTACAACAAAAATATATTTTAACATGTCTTGCTGAATTTGATGTTCTTTAGAGAGACTTAATAAGTTTGCATCCTGCATCGTCAGTATTACTTATAGTGGACTGTTGCCAATTTAGTCTTTCTGAGAATAGATTCATTGAAATGAATGGGATTTAAGTCACTCCAATTCATTTCAATGGGTTCACTCTTAGTGGGCTGAAGTTGGGTACAAACCATCATGATCATGTCAAGGCACCATCTGACAATTAAAGAGTTGGGAAGTTTTCCTAAATGAGGCTTTACATCTGCTCTTTCTGCTTCCTGCTTCCTTACACAGTTAAGGTTGGAGCTTTAAATGGATTATTTTCCTTTCCTTTCTTGCTATCTAACCCCTAGGTGACACTGGTGTACTGAAATAATGCAGCTTCATTAGTGGCAGCTAATGCTCCATCCCCACACCCCTGAAATTGCTTTTAGCAACCAGAAGGGAAACTGAGTGGTGACAACCTCATCTGAATATGGTGAGTGAGGAATGATGAACACACACAATTAAAGGCTCATTTAGAGAAGCTTCTGTTCCCATGTGCTGCCTTCCAGACTAATAAATGCAGGAAACAAGAACTGGACAGAATTAAGGAATACCAGGCAAGTACCCCTGAGTTACCATTTGAGCCCCACCATTATTCCCAGCCCTGGGTGCTCAAGTCAGCTTGAAGCCGGGCCTCCAGCACTTTAGCTACCAGTTGTGGTTAAGTTCCATGCCAGCCCATGGGACAGGCTAGTGGCAATCAACTTAAGCCCCCCTGCTTTCAGTGGGGCACAGCCATTATTGCATTCAGAGAACTGGGGCTCATATTTTCTGACCACCCTCAGGTATGTTGTGGGATTAGGGCTAGCAGTATGGTATGGAAAAGTGCTTCATGCTCTCATAATAACAGAACCCATGTTCCGGCCATGAAGCTCATCAGGGAGAGGAAAACATGCTTGCACATGCTCTTCTTCTCCCCGCTGCTGATGTGGGTTCAGTTGCTGCGATACCTTGCCCTGCAGGGCAGCTGCTACCTGGGCAGGTAGATTTGCCCTCTGCTTCTGGCCTGAAGATGTCCCTGGAACGGTGTGCTGACCCAGTGTGCTTCTGGTTTCTGAAACCAATGCCAGCAGATGGGAATTACAGCAATTTTTGCTGGGAGGTGTTTGGAAAATCCAAATAATTCATAAAATAAGAAGAGGGAAGGATCCTTTGAATGCTGTCTGGTCTTAAGCACAGTGCCCGGCTCCCATTTCCAGAAAAGCCTGGAAGCTGTTCAGCCCAACCTCTCCTCCCAATCATGAAGGGAATCTCCCATATCTGAAAGTGATTCCAGTATTTCATTCAGTCTCAGGCTTTTGATACATAGTCTCATGCTAATCCTATTTGGTATGCGGCCAAATGTTATTAAATGTTGCAAAGATAATCCTCTGCAGAATGCCGAAGGTGGCTCCCAGTTGAAACCCTGGCATGGGCATGCTCCTGCAGGGAAGACGGGTACAATCTTGGCCATCTCCACGCCCCCCCAACCAGCACGATCGCAGTCATCTCCCCCCGCACCCTCTAAGTGAGGAGATGGCCAGGATCGCAGTTGCGTTTGTGCAGAAAAGACGGGCGCAGCACAGCACAGCCGTGATCATGCATGTGTTCCCTGCACGAACGCGACTGTGATCGTGGCCATCTCCCCACTCGCGGTGTGGGGGAAATGGCTGTGATCTTGGTCGCCACCCAAAGCGGAGTTGGTGACCCAAATCAAAATTTTCATGAAATTTTTGTTCATGACCCAAGGCATTTGTGACCCAAGATGTTCGTGAGCCAAGGTACCACTGTACTTGCTGTATGCCCCTCCGCAGATCTCGCACATTGTTTTGGTGTACGAATACTTTATGTGCCAATTACTTCCTCATCGTCTGCCCTGCAGCATACCTCTACCCAACAGTGCTGTTCATGAAGGTTTGTCTCTGCAGAGGGTTTCCTGGGTGTTCTCACCAATAAAACTGCTGAGGTAAATAACATAAATGTCTCCCTGTGGATCTAAGCATACATGCTCACAGGCTGCATATGCTGGAGTCCCTGAGAGAGGAAGGAGCTAAAGCCTGCCTGGGAATTTTATTGTGGCCATCAACTCCAGAGAAAAGGAGAGAAGCTGGTGAGTTGGACTTTCTCCTGTATTGCACCTGAACTACAGAACACGTTTTGCAAAAACTGCAATTTACACTCCTTGCCCTTTAGGAATGGTGTGAAGAAACATATTTTCACTTGTCCTTTGAAAATGTATAGTGCAGGGGTCGGCAACCTTTAACACTCAAAGAGTCATTTGGACCCATTTCCCACACAAAAGAAAACACCAGGAGCTGCAAAACCCTTTTGACATCTAAAATGAAGATAACACTGCATATATCATTTTTTACCTTAATGCTATGTATATCTTCATTATGATTTAGCTGCAGCTCTTGTTCAGTCACTAAAAACTGTTAATTTTAATCTTACATTATAAACTAGTAGGATTCCTTTCATATATTTTGAATAGGAGAACAGCTTCCTGAAGAGTCAAAGTCAGTGCTAAAGGGCTGCATGCATTAATCAGCAAACCCATAAGTTTGTCAGCAGTAAAAGCAAATGAATCTACCCACGTATCATTAAACGTTTGGTTTTCTTCAGAAACTTTTCTTTTCTTCTATTTATCCATGGTTGGCCTACCAGGGGAAGTCACAGATATAGGTGTGTTTAGTGACTGATTAGCAGATAAACAGTCAAGTGATGTGAATTGTGACAGGTCAAAAGCGCAGCTTTTATCATTCAGAGGAAGGAGATTACATTTGGACAAAGAGAATCTTTTCAGCATCTTTTTGTGTAACATGAGAGCCTGCAGGAAGCACAATAGCAGAGGAATGTAGCTATTTACTTAAACAGCTAGCAGGGCATTCCTGACTGGATGCCTCATCATCACCTATTGGTATTTTGTAACTCGGAGCCTCGGTCGCAGATCAGGCGGCTGTGCCGGTACGTGTTTTGAGTGACGGAGCCGCAGCAGAGGGATTCAAGAGCCATGTGCGGCTCCGGAGCCGCTGGTTGCTGACCCCTGGTATAGTGTTACCTCTTTTTCTTTTGTTAAGGTTTCATTATCTTAAATGTTGGCATGTCACCTTGGCAGGTTTCAAGCAGATTAGGTGATATCTAAATATAAATTGCAAAGTCATCCATAAATAATTGCTTCCTGGAATGGGACTCCTTCACAGCTCCATTTATTTAACTTGGGCTTCAATGTTATGCCCACCTAGAGCAAAATCAACACAAGCATCTGGGAGTCCCACGTGGAGAAAACCTTGTGCTCCCCAGCAGCAGGAGATGCATGCACAGGAGATGTCAGTCAGCACCAATGGCCCCAGGACATCCACCAGCCCTTCACTCTTCAGCAGCCCTTGCACTGCATGGGTGTCAGAGCAAGAGATATCCAGAAAGAGGGTAAACGGCAGAGAAGAAATGTGAGATCTCCCTTTGTTCCCAGTTGGAAGTGTGAGGCATCAAAAAGGTATAAAGTGAAGCAGTGACACAGCTGCCAGAGGGAGGCAACACTTGTGCTTCATCGGGAAGAATGGTGTAGTGCTCACAGGCTGTGGAAGAGAGCAGGAAACTGCCTGAATTGCCAAATGTCATGCAGAAGAACATCTGAACCAGGCAGCCATGGACCCATCTGTAGGCACTGCAGACCTTTCCTCCTTCCTGTGCTGGGCACATGCCCTGGGGCTGTGCCAGTGCTGAAGAGCCACCACAGCTGGTGATGGCTAAGGACCATTGCTCTGGGCTAGGCATCCAACAAGTCCTGGTTTAATCACCGATAGAGAAAGAATGGGGAAACAGGCAATGGAGAAAAGGTCTGTTCCTTGTGGCGCTGGGGAGACCCCACACTTACAGTAGAAAAGCCTGGCCTAAATGGACTGGCCTGAATACTCTGTGGAAGGGTTCCTTGTTATATAGTAGAATTGTGCATTCTGAACCTTTATTTTTAAAAGAGCAGTTAGCTAGCCCCTATGGTAGGAAAGACACGCTGAAACTATATGGGCTGTGCTTGATGTCATTTCAGATATATAATCTTTTAAGAAATAAGATTTTTGAAATGAAGGCTTTCAGGCTGGACATCCACATGGTGGGCATGTCGTGAGCGGAGCCGGCTGGTGCCAGAAGTCAGACTAGATGGCCCGGGAGACCCCTTCTGACTCGCTCTGTTTCTATGTTTTGTTAGATTAGGAAAGAGACTACAGTGCCCTTCATCGCTCCTATTCTGCCTCATGATGAACAAAAGAAATTATGTTAGCTCGTAAAAATTCAGGAATCAAATTGCACATGCACACAGATGAGAACCTACTCTCCCAAAACTTCTGCTTAATATGTGCAATTTCCAAAGGTCACAGAATCTCACTTAGTGGAGAATCTGAGTTAGTGTAATGCAAAATTCTGTCTTTGAAAAAGTCTCATTCATAGAGTCTTCTTAGTATCTCCATCTTTGATTCCTCCCCAAGTATGTCATTTCTCTCACTCACAATTCCCCTTCTGTTGAGATCCATCCTACCACCCTCTATTCAGGAGTGGAAAACCAAGAACCCCAAATGACAGGGAGAAAACAAAACAAGCAATGGCATATTATGCATTCTGTTTATTTTGAGACATCATCAATTGGACTAGGCGGTCTCTGGTTCTTGGCAATTATGCAAACTCTGGACTGTCCTTCTTGGAACATGAGGCTAAACTAATCCTTCATCCACCACTTCATGCAGAGGGAGCAGAAGCATTACCTGAGGGGGAGCTGTCCGTGCACAGCACCCTTTGCCTTAGACAGCCCTTTTTAATTGTGATGTCTGTTGCTGAGGCGAAGAAGAGGCCTTGTCTGTGCCATCACCTTCCTCCCCAGCTCAGTAGTCTGCAAACAGCCTGCTTCCAGCACTGCCATCTTAAGACTCTTAGGCCCCTCTGGAGTGCTGTGTCCAGTTCTGGGCACCATGCTTCAAGAAGGATGCAGACAAAATGGAAAACGTTCAGAGGAGGGCAATACGGATGACCAAGGGACTGGAAACAAAGCCCTGTATGGACAGATTGAAAGAGCTAGGCATGGCTTAGCCTTGAGAGGACAAGAATGAGGGGAGAGATGATCGCAGTCGTAAAGTTCTTGAAAGGCTGTCTCACAGAAGTGGAACAGGATCTCTTA